GTGTACATTCATTGCAATGTGGGATGGGGTGGGTGTTGCAGGCGGGTGGCGTGAAGCCTCCTGATTGGCCGTATGGAGTGCACATTCTTGGACACGTCATCAATCATGATCTGTAAGGAATTATCCGTGATACGTCCTACCTACCTACCCACCCATCTAATTGATTGATTGATTGATTGATTGAGTAATTGATTAATTGGCCCCTATTATGAATTGCACACGGTGAAACTTCCTACCTACCCATCTAATTTATTGATTGATTGATTGATTAATTGATTGATTGATTGATTTTGATTAATTGGCCTCTATTATAAATTGCACATGGTGAAATTTCCTACCTACCAATCTAACTGATTGATTGATTGATTGATTGGCCTCTATTATGAATTGCACACGGTGAAACTTCCTACTACCAATGTAACTGATTGATTGATTGATTGATTGATTGATTGATTTATTGATTGATTGATTGGCCTCTATTATGAATTGCACACGGTGAAACTTCCTTGCTTTATTGATTGATTGGCACGACGAAACTCCCTACCTACCCATCTAACTTATTGATTGATTGATTGGTTGGCCTCTCTTATGAACACGGTGAAACTTCCTACCTACCCATCTAATTGATTTGATTGATTGGCCTCTCTTATTTAATGGCCTCTATATATCATACATATACATCGTTGGACAGAATCAATCAAAATCATCAATTTCAAATCGGTAGGGCGGCTTTTTCTTCTGTCTATTAAACCTTCTGCCTTCCTGATGATTGCATCGCCGAAATGGCGCGTCAATCAATCACCATCTGGAAGCTGTATGTGCCCTCTGGAATCAATCACCATCTGGAAACCTCCCTCTTTGTTGTTACCCCCCTAACCCCCCTACCCCCCCTAACCCCCCTAATTCCCCCCCCCTCTTTTGCCCTCCTTCCCTCCTTCCCTCCTGATTGATTGACCTTAATGGAAAGGACTGCGGGCACATCTTTAGAGGACACGTCATCACTGACTATTACACATCCTTGCTCGAGGGCCATGCTAATCAATGTTCTCTTTCTCATTCCAATTTTTTTTAATTAAAAAAAAATTAAAAAAAAATCATTCCAATTTTAACGGATGTGTCTGAAGGGATGTTCCTGCTTGTTTTTTCGGTAAGCAGTGTCCTTAGGTTGTTTCAAGGCGAGACGAGATCCCACTGGCAAAAACGATTGGTATAAGTGTCAGAATCTGGACGTGTTTGTGGAGAGGTGCAGAAAAACTGCAATCGATCTGCTTTTCTGCATCTCTGCGTGGAACATGTCCTGATTCAGACACTTATTCCAATCCTTTTTGCCAGTGGGATCTGACCCTCCTCCTTCGAAGAAAAGCTGTATGCGCCTATCTAATCGCTTTCTGCTTTCTGCACTGTTTATAGTGCAGTTGAGGCCGGGATAGACGAACCGCACGGGTTTCTGCTTTTTCTGGACTCTGCTGGCAGCCAAAAAAAAGTCGTAGCTTCGACTATCTGTCCATCGATCGTCTCCCGACCATCTTCCCCCTAACACAACAACCCCCATCATGAGTGGGTACCAAGGGGGTAGAAACAAGCCCCCTCATCATCTTGAGTGGGCACCAAGGGGGTAGAAACAACCCCCCTCATCATCTTGAGTGGGTACCAAGCTTATTAACCTTTCCCCGGCCTGAAACAGTAGTGATGATGGCCGTGTCCTGTATGTTCGGGGGAAGAGGGTAGTACCCCCAGTGAGTGGGTCATAGACTGAACACAGGGGCGGAAGAGGGTACATACACATTCTGAATCTGGCCACGTCTATGCACCCGACCATCTTCCCCGGAACACAACACACCCTCATCATCATGAATGTGTACCCTCATCTTCCCCCGAACACAACACACCCTCATCATCATGAATGTGTACCCTCAGTGAGTGGGTCATGCTGGATGTATGTGGACTGAACACGGGTGGAAGAGGGTACACATTCTGAATCTGGCCACGTCTATGCACCCGACCATCTTCCCCCGAACACAACACACCCTCCTCATCATGAATGTTTACCCTCATCTTCCCCCGAACACAACACACCCTCATCTTCCCCCGAACACAACACACCCGCATCTTTCCCCAGGCGGGAACAGTCATGGTGACGGTTGTCGTGTCTTCGGTGGAAGATGGTACCCGTCTTCACCCGAATAGAACCGGGTCTTCACCCGAATAGAACACCTGGTCATTACAGTTGTGTATTTGGCACAACTTTCAGGCCAGATGCAGGGATAATGACCGGGCGTTCTATTCGGGAGAAGGTGGTAGTACCCCCAAGCCTCTGTTCCGAACGGTGGCCTGGTGGGTCACGCTGGATGTATGTGGACGTCCTCACGTCTTTATACAGACCAATCACCTCCTGATCTATACCTGCCCTTCGCACGGACGTGACAGCAGGATTAGATAGGCGTAGCTTGTAACTGAGCAGAAATCAAGGGAAGGGGGGATGCACGGGGAAAGATGGAAGTACCCCCGAGCCTGCTTTCCAAACCTGGCCCAGTGGGTCACAATGAATGGATCTGGACGTCAGCACACCTTCATACAGATCAATCGCCCAAGCGAAAGTTTTAAAGAATGGGAGCAGAAAACCAGGGAAAGGGGGATGCACGGGGGATGATGGTAGTACGCCCCAGCCTGCTTCCAGATCTCCCTTCATACATATCAATCGCCTCCTGATCTATACCTGCCTCCCTCCCCTTCGCATGGGCCTTTTGACAGCAACAATAGACCGCTCTCTGTAACAAA